CATGCCACAATCCCTTCTCCATTCTCCTCTTGAGGTTTTGGACATGCATGCACACATGCCCTGGAGATTTTTCAAGCCACCAGGCCTGGAACTTGAACCACACCATCAGCTTTGTGGGATTCAGTGCCTTAACTACCATACCACTGATTGGCCACTATGGATTAGTTTTGATTGGTCATGAATGAGTATTATTGGAACCTCAGATTTTCTCTGTTGTGTATTTCTTCTTCTGCTCAGTTCATCTTGTATACCAAGCACCAAAACATTTTGTGAGAATATCAGGATATGTTTATATTCTCCTGTTGATTGACATTTATATTATTTACATGGTTTGGATATTATTAAGGATGCTGCTATGATGTTTTCTGTAATATTTACATTCATTTCTGTTGTGTGTTTATACCTAATTAGGCAAGCTATGGTTGAGTTGCGAGATAAGTCCAGGCTCAGCTGAAAGTCAGATTGCCAGATATTTTTCCAGAGTGGATGTACTATTTCCCATTTTCACCTGCCAGAATGAGAGTACCATTACTCTAGGTCCTCCTAAATGTGCCTCCTGACCACCTTGCCCTTTGAGGCACAGTAGTAAGATTCCTCAGAAGCCAACGCTGAAATTGTTCTTGCTGAGGTTAACTGCTGTCATCCTGATTGCCCAGAGCAATAGTGAGAATAACAGTTAGGATAATGGTCCACAGTGTAGTGAATACTAGTGCCAGGTTGGGCTGTGCTGGGTACTTTATAGGCGTTTCTGCCTCTAACGACCCGCATCACAGCTTGAGAAACAGTCCCCTGGTCCAGAGTTGAGCAAATTGAGACTTACTGAAGATAGTAACCCATCCAGTGTCAGCTCATTTGATAGAGGGTTGATTAAAACTGAGTCATTCTGTCTCCATGCCCTCACTTGACCACAGTGCAATAGACCTCTTGATGCAATAAAAACTTATCAAACCGGGACCAGCAGGTGGCATGGTGGCTAAGGCGCTGGACACTCCCACATGGCCGACTGTGGTTCGAGTCCTGGACATAGTGGCTTGCTTTCTCCTTCTCTCACACTGTCTCTTTCTGGTCAAATTAAAATAGATGAATAAATAAATTAAATAAATAATTCTTAAAAAAAAAAAGAAAAGAAAACTTGTCAGACCTTATCGTGCTTGACCTTTTGTACTGTTTACCATGCTTGATCTTTTGTACTGTTGTTCCCGTGTGGCTGCCTCTTCCTTTTATGGTAAAATCTTCCCATTATTTCCCTAACTCTCATGTTGGCCTCACCAGGCATCTGCTTCCCTTTTCTTTTTACTCTTAAGTACTTGCTAAGGATGAATCTACATAGGCTTCCTTCCTCACCTTCAACCCAGTGCCTACCTCCTCTATCTGGCAACTGCTCTTCTCCTGTAGGACTCAGCTCATGAGATACTCCCTCTAGGAAGCCTTCCATGATCTCATTTTCCTCCCAGTCTTGTTAGCTGCCATTTCCCAATACTCATAGCACAAAGAGATATCAATTGTTGGAGCAAATGCCCTCTAGACAGTGTTATCAAACCTTTATTCTCCCTTCCCTTTTCTGACTATGAAGAGGGAATTCTACTCCAGATCCTCCATCCCCTGATCTAGCCTGTTCTAGAATTTCCCTTCAATGGTATCAAGGGTGCATGGACCAAAAAATAATTGGGAATCCGTGGTTATAGAGATATAAACACTACAGCATCTATCATAGATACTATCTTCATTTTCCCATTGAAGTGTTTGTCTTGTTACTTCTTTATTACATCACTAAAAGTCCTCTGTGTGTTGAATTCACTTCAGGTGAGAGAGCACAACTTCAGCCCAGAGAGCCAACTACTTGTCTATTGGTCTTGTCTGAGGGATCTTTACTCCAGGAAAGCCTGACTCAGAGATCTTCATGGGGCTCCCAATTGGGGAAATCTAGAGAGCAGAAAGGGCTTTTGGAAATGCAGAAATGCCAAATGAGACCTGAGACAGACCCTCATGAGAAGCCCCATCCTGAGAAAATGAGCCTTGAAGATAATGGTTTCAGGACAGATGATAATTTGTGCTCCAGAGTGCTCCAGGAGCGAGGCTCTCCAGGAAGTGTTCTCCATGAACAGGGCTCACAGCAACCAGGGAAGGACAACCTGATTCGTTCTGGGACCAACCCTTACAAATGCAAGCAGTGTGGCAAAAGTTTCAGCAGGAGGTGGTATCTTGTTCGACATCAGCGGGTTCACACTGGCATGAAACCCTATGAATGCAATGCCTGTGGAAAAGCCTTTAGCCAGAGCTCCACCCTCATCCGGCACTACCTCATTCACACTGGGGAGAAGCCGTACAAGTGTGTCGAGTGTGGGAAGGCCTTCAAACGCAGGTCCTACCTCATGCAGCACCATCCAATTCACACTGGAGAGAAACCTTATGAGTGCACTCAGTGTCGAAAGGCTTTCACCCACCGCTCTACTTTTATTCGCCACAATAGGACTCACACTGGAGAAAAACCCTTCGAGTGCAAAGAATGTGAGAAAGCCTTTAGCAATAGAGCACACCTCATTCAGCACTACATCATCCATACTGGAGAGAAGCCTTATGATTGTATGGAGTGTGGAAAGGCCTTCAGATGCAGCTCAGAACTCGTGCAGCACCAGCGGATTCATACTGGAGAGAAGCCCTATGAATGCACCCAGTGTGGGAAAGCCTTTCACCGGAGCACGTACCTCATTCAGCACTCTGTCATCCACACTGGGGAGATGCCATATAAGTGCACTGAGTGTGGAAAAGCCTTCAAACGTAGGTCACACCTCCTGCAGCACCAGCGGATCCATACTTGAGAGGAATCCTGTCACTGCAATTAATAAGAGAAAGGCCTTTGCTATCTGGTCTTCTTTTGTCTTTTGTAATGGGACCCAGTTTTGATTAAAAAAAAAAAAAAAACACTTTGAGTGCAAAGAATGTTGGAATGCCTTAACACATGAGCAATCACATTGGAGAGAATCCCTGTGAATGCAGTGCATATGAGGAAGTCTCCAGCTACTGCTCACTTGCCACTCATCAGAGAAGGTTTCACACCTGAGCAAAATATGAAAAGGTATTTCACCAGTGGATCTATTTCCATCAACATCAGAGAACTCAAGATAGGGAAACACTTTTGGAATGTAACTACCAATGACAGCCTTTAGCAAAAAGAAAAGTCTTGCCATTTAGAATTCATACTGAAGAGTTATCACAAAATTGTCATTACTGTGAAAAAAATTTCTGTGATCAGATCATCACTTGTCACATAAAGAGTCATGTGAAATTTGACCCACCTTGGGATTTATAAAGTTATAGATACCTTCAGTCACAGGTCTCTTTAATTTACACTGGAAAGTCATCTTAACATTATTAAAAAGAACAAACATAAAGTAAAAAGAAGGTGAAGAACATAGTCCATAAGAGAGAAGAACAAATGTTGTTACGAACTAAGGCTTTTCTGCCAAGCCTGTTAGTTTTTCAACAGTTTTTTTATTTTTATTTATTTTTTTTATAAATTTTTTAGACTGATTTTATATAACTTTACTCATTTTAATTTTATCAGAGAGGGACAGAGAGAGAGAGGCAGAGAGAGAGAGAGGGAAAGTGAGAAAGTAAGCTGCCAGGTCTGGGACTCAAACCACGGTCAGCCATGTGGGAGTCCAGCGCCCCTAACCACCATGCCACCTGCCGGCCCCAACAGTTTTATTCTTTGATAGGAGAATGGTTGAGAGGTAAAAGGATCTCAGTCCTTTGTTTTTTTTATGTTCACTGCTGTTCTGCAGCAAGAGAGCTGGACAGTCAAGGCAGCTCTTCAAATGTGTGGGAAGCCATCTTTGTACCAAATAACCTATGAGGAGCATAATTTTTTGTGGGAAATTTGAAGTTTTGAGTCATGGGATAGTTGAACTTAAGAGAAATTACAATACTAAAAATACCATTATGACATTTCTGTATTATGTCTAAGGACAGAGGATCCACATATGGATGGCCACATTAAAAATGCACTTAAAGACTGAGGTTTAAAATTTTGATTTTCATAAATAAACCCCTTATTACTATGATTTTAAATGTCCAGCACTCTTCTTTTTCCTTTTTGGAGAAGTTTTTTCTATAGGGCACGTGCGCTCACCAGACAGAGACAGAAAGTGATAAATCACCCCCCGGGGGGATGGCCACCCCATAATCCCTTCTCCATTCTCCTCTCGGGATCTTGGGCACACACGCGCCTGGCGTGAGTTTCAAGCCACCGGGTCCAGGACACGAACCACGGTCGACTACATGGGAGTTCAGCAACATAGCCATTACACTAACTGCTGGTCCTTTTTTTTTTTTTTAATTGAGGGGAAGAGAGAGCAAGAAAGAAAGAGAGTTTTATTTAACTGTATTAGTTTATTTTTAATTTGGTCAGAGAGGGACAGAATGAGAGGGAGAAAGTGAGAAAGCAAGTTGCCAGGTCTGGGACACAAATCACGGTTGGCCACATGGGAGTCCAGCATCATTAACCACCATGCCATCTGCAAGCACCCTCAGAACTCTTGATTCCATTTTTGTTTGTTTGTTTATTTTCTGACAGTCTGGTGATCATCTTTTTTCTTGTGTGGCCTTCTCAGGTAAGTCTAATCTTCCTGGTATTTCTCAAATTCTTTAATCCTAGGTAAAGGAGTCTTTAAAATTTGATAAATGCAGGAAAAGAAACATGGAAAAGAATCTCATTGTCTGATCTCATGAACATTTCTGTGAAGTTTTGATACAAAATAAAATCTCTGCTCAGGCCTGGCAATTTACTTTCTCACTTTCTGTCTCTTTTTCTTTCTGGTGAGCACATATACCCTACAGCACATTTTTAAAAATTAATAACTGTTTAAAACTTTAATAATTCTTTTTTTTTGAGAGTTTTTTTAATAATTATTTTATTTAACTTTATTTATGATTATTGTTACTTTCCAGTTTGATCAGACAGACACAGAGAGAGAGGGAAAGTGAGAAAGCAAGGCACCAGATTCAGGACTTGAACCGTGGTCGGCCATGTGGGAGTCACCCCACCCCACCCCCGGCGATGGCCATGCTGCAATCCCTTCTCCATTCTCCTCTCCGAATCTTGGGCATACACGCATATGTGCCCAGCGTGAGTTTAAGCCACCAGGTCTGGGACTCGAATCGTGTTCGACTACATGGGAGTTCAGCGACATAGCCATTATGCTAACTGCTGGTCCCAAAACTTTAATAATTTTTTTTAAATATAAAATAAAATCCTTGAAATTTTAATTGGCAAATCAGGATTTGTGTATGCTCACTGTGGGTTTCACAGGTAACCACTGTGAATTTACTCTCTTGGTGCTGATACTGAATGTGGTAATTTTTGTTTTGGTTTTTAAATTTTTTAAAAATTATTTTTGATTTAACTTTATTTATTTTTATCTATTATTTTTAACTTGACCAGAGAGTAACAGAGAGAGAGAGAAAGTGAGAAAGCAAGCCGCCAGGTCTGGGACTCAAACCATGTGGCTGTCTAGCCCCCTTTGCCACCATGCCACCTGCCAGCTCCTTTTAGTTTTAAAATTTTTAAGAATTAAAAAATAAATAAACAAAGTGGTGGGGGGTACAGCAGATGGCATGCTGGCCAAAGGCTCTGGATTCCCACATGGCTGACGACGGTTCAAATCCCAAACCTGACAGCTTGCCTTCTCCCTTTCCCTTTCTCCCTCTCTTTCTCTAGTAAGATGAAAATAATAATAATAATAATAACAAATGGGATTAGATAAATAAATCTTTTTAAAAACTTTTTTTTTTAATTGCTAGAGAATGCATGAGCTCACCAGAGGGAGAGAGAGAAAACACCTCCCTCCTCCTAGTGAGGCATTGTCATACTAAAATCCCTTTCCTCCATTTTTCCTTCCTATCAGGACTTAGGGCACAAACACACATATGCCCAGTGTATTTTTCAAGCTGCTGGGGCCAGGATTTGAACTGCAGTCAACCATGTAGGATCCAACTTCCAGTGCATAGTTTTTAACTACTGCCCTTTGGGGCTGGCAAAGAATGTGGTGATTTGAAATCCCTTCTGTGGAATTTTGAATTTTTTTTTTCTTTTTGTTTTTAATTATTTTTTTCTTTTTTGTTGCTGAAGCTAGCAGGTGATGTAGTGGTTAAGGCGCTGGACTCCACATGGCTGGCCACAGTTTGAATCCTGGACCTGGTGGCTTGAAAATCATGTCAGGTGGGGCCAGCAGGTGGCATGGTGGTTGGGGCTCTGAAATTTCCACATGGCCAACTGCAGCTCAAGTCCTGGACCTGGCAGCTTGCTTCCTCACTCGCTCTCTTTCTCTCCCTCTGTCTTTCTCTGGTAAGCTCTTGAAAAAATAATAATGATAAATAAATATAATGAATAGTTCTAAAAAAAGAAGAAAAAAAATCATATCAGGCATGTGTGTGTGCCCAAAATCCTGGGAGGAGAATGGAAGACAACGGACTGTGGTGTGGCCTTCCCCCATAGGGGGGTGATTTCTGACTTCCCTCTCCCTATCTCTCTGTTTCTCTCATGAGTACATGCATCATCTGGCAAAAACCTTACTGGAAAAAAAATGTTTGCCAGAGAATGCTTGCACACACTGGGAGTAGATGTGGGTGGGGGAGGGGGAGGGGAGATAAGAAAGCATCCCCTATGGGAAATGTTCATGCTGCGATTCCTTCTTCATTTCTTTTGAGATTTTGGGCATGTATGCATATGTCTCTGGCACATTTTTCCTGAGGAACTGCACAAGTGGCCATGAGGGATCCAGCTGCCTTAACTACCCTGTCACCAGTTGGCTCTTAAGTTGAGTTGGTCTTTTTTCTTGGGGGGGGGGAGCACCAGAGTCCAATGAGGCATTTTATTTGTATATGTGTATTACACCCCAAAAGAAAATCCCAGGATTTTCCCTCCTGTATGTTTCCATCTTGCTTCATGGTCCATGATGCTAGCAGAGGTTGTCAGTACAATGAAAACAAACTGACAAAATGGGAGCAGATTATTCTGCCATTTCTCTAGGCCTTTGAGTTGCACATCAAATCTGGGACTGATCACTCTACACTTGTTTAGCTTGCCAGTGAGGTTCACAACAATTTTTCCAGCTCTGTGGTCATCAGTGACTTCAAATTTGCCAGTGTAACCATGCTTTGTCATCAGAGTTAGAAACCGGACAATGACTGGAGCACGGCCTAATAAGAACCTGGCATTTCCCTCTCTTTTTAGCATTGTTGGTGCTTTTGAGGGCATCAGCCAGGACATTCATATGCACCATTATGGCAGGACAGCAAGAAAAATGCACCACGGAAAGTGGGCTGACAGAGTGAGTTGAGTTGATCTTAAAGCTACAGGAGGTAACCACTGTTACCTCAGGTTAAAAAATGTACTGTACATAAAAATATAAAATATAATCTTGCTTCCTGGGCCTTCATCAGTCTTTAAAAGACTACTTATCAAGGCCAGCAGGTGGCATGGTGGTTAAGGTTTTGAACTCCCACATGACTGACCACAATTTAAGTCCCAGACCTGTTGCCTTGAAAATGCCAGTTGCTGTGCATGAGTGCCCAAAATCCCAGGAAGAGAATGGAGGAGAAGGAATTGTAGCATGGATTTCTCACTTTCCCCCTTACTGTCTCTGGTGAACATATGTACTCTATTTTTAAAAAAGGCACATAACCTTTTTTTGTGGTGCTTTATACACATTATTTATGCATGTATTATTATGAATGCAATTTTTTTTAATGGCCATGTGGAATCAAGTGGCCATGATCACCATGCCATCAGCTGTCCCAATTTCTTTTTTTTTGGTAGAGGTTTTTGCCTTAGGGCATGTATACTCATCAGACACATTTCGAAAAATAGAACTACCAGGGACCAACAGTTAGCATAATGGCTATGTCGCTGGACTCCTATGTAGTCAGCCGCGGTTCGAGTCCTGGACCTGGTAGCTTAAACTCAAGACAGGCACGTGTGTGTGCATGCCCAAGATCCCGAGAGGAGATTGGAGGAGAAGGGATTGTGGTTTGGCCATCTGCCCTGGGGGGTGTTTTCTCGCTTTCTGTCTCTCTGTCTCTCTGTCTGGCGAGCACGTGTGCCCTATATCAAAGACCTCTTCAAAAGAATAAATAAATAAATAGAACTACCATATGCACCGGTAATCCTATTCCTGGGTTTCTCCCCAAAGTATAAGAAAACACTCTGAAAGATACTTGCATATCCATGTTTGTTGTAGAATTATTCACAATTGCTAAGACATAAAATCAGCCCAAATACCTAAGAACAGATGGCTGGATTGAAAAAAATGTGGCATATATACACTATGGAATACCACTCAGCCATAAAAAAGTGAGATCCTGACATTTGATACAAAGTGGATAAATATGGGGAACCAGCAGTTAGTGTAATGGCTATGTCGCTAGAATCCCATGTAGTCGACTGCGGTTTGCGTCCCGGACCTGGTGGCTTAAAACTCACACTGGGCGCGTATGCGTGCGTGCCCAAGATCCCGAGAGGAGAA